TTTTTTGAATATGTTAATGAATAAAGTGGTCTAAATTGTATATACTAGGCTAACGTAGTATGATAGAGTCTAATATGTATTATATTGCCCGTAAATTTAAATACAATATAATAGTATAATATATATATATAATATATGAGGTCCCGGATGGAAGTCGATTTAGAGGTCGAATGTGAACTATCAATCGAGAAACTAAAGAACTCCTTTTCAGACACGAATAGGAAGAATTAAGGGTCTGAGTTGAACAATGAAAGTTTTCTTTTATTACTAAAACAAAAGATAAATTGTATGGAAAAGACCAAAGTCGAGGAAAACGTGGTTAGAAAGGAGTCGTATTTAGTCGCGAAGTTGATCCCAGGTTTCGAATTGTCACCAGGTGACGATGAGAGACCAATGAAAAGACGACTTTGCTTTGGGTGTAAAACTTATAAAACCGCGCGAATCAAGGACGTAACGTTCTTGGTCCGTAGTGCTTCTCTCCCGAAAGTTTGTGATCTCGCATTTCACCAACGAAAGATTTTTCGACGTCCAAGGATTCTTCTTCGCAAAATGGAACAAAATTTTGATATTTTGATTGTAAAATTTGATTATTAGAAAATGTTTTCCTGTCTGTTGACCAATGTCACAAAGCAGTAAATGACTCTACGGGTCACGAGTTGTCTAGTATTAACTAAATTCTTTTTACAATTTGTCTGTTAACACTGATTTTTAATTTTGTCCGAATATTACTAACAAATATCAAAACGATTGTCGGAATTTAATTTTCTCTAGAATAAATTTTGGTGGTAGTTCTTAAACTAATTAGTAGCAAAATTGAAAGTTTATTAATGTAAAATATTAAGGGTTGCCCAAATGGAGAGTGGACACATGTCAGAACTGGCAAACATTTACTGCGAATCTAAAAGAATGTTTGTTTAGGCAAAGATTCCAGCGCCTCACAAGCAGATCGATACCCTCGCGTATAATTCCTGTGTCTGCTAGTGAAAAATTCTCCCATTCTATCTTTCACTTTACTGTCCGACGTGAATGTTTGCCTACGAATGTTTGCCTACAGATGAGCAAAGAAAGCTTTGCTCAAATTCGCGAATGTGCGAGTTGTAGCTCGTCTGTTACTTCCGATTGTATCGTCCACCGCAACGATTGATGCAGTGGAGATTACGGTGTGTGCCAGACCTGGTTTCGGCTTATCCCGAATTTACTTGCGGTTTTGTCTGTACCCGTTGCACCAATTATTCACTTCCGTTTATTCTAAACAATGTCCATTATAAATGTGTTTCATTCGTTTATAGATATCGGCATTCCTATTACCTTCAGCCACTAAAAACAGGACAACCGAGAACTTAGCATTAATCTGTCAATTACTGAAGATAACATCTATTCCCGCCAATACTTAATGCAGCCCGCGCTTCGCCTAAGTTGAGCTTACTCACCTGTAAGGTGGCCCATCGATTGCTACTTTGCACGATGAGATATGGCACGTGTCCACTTTTCAATCGGGCAATCCTAATATTAATCTAAAAATTATCTACAGTTGTGAAGGAAGGAACATTAAAAAGTCTTGTTTCGTATAAAACTGTGAGGATCCGAATTCGGACTTTCCGTGTGTTTATATCACTTTATCATTTCACATTGTCGCTGTACTATCGTTTAATAACTGCCAACTTTTACACCTGGGAGCGAAACATCTGCTAAGTTCTCAGGCTTAATAACGACGCTTTCTCAGCACCTTTCGACCTAATATCTCCGTTTCAACAATCCAACATGAAAAACAGACAACAAAGTGAGGCAGTCGTCACCAGTTCCTCGATCGGACCACTCAAGTTTTCCCTGTGCTAAAATATTTGGATATTTCCTCGCCTTTGGATACCTCCCTAATAACTAGTTAACTAATAACTAGTTAACTAAGAACTGTGGAAATAAGAACTGTCGTCCAGAACTGTCTTCTGTTGTGTCCGACTAACTTGCAGAAAATCAAGATTTTGTACAAGGTAATTCTCGCCACGCGCAACTTATGTAAACTCTCTCTCCCGAGAACCGCGGAACGGTAACTGCAATCTGAAATCTAATTTAATGTCTATTTTATATCTATTGTGGCAAAGATTCCTAAAGACTAGCAGAGTTAAAATCGATATTTTTTATATCCTGTATGGCCTATAGTTATCAATTAAACCGTTGTTACGTTAAAGCAGCGATTCCCAACCTGTGGTACGCGTACCCCTAGGGGTACGCGATAGGTTGTTTAGGGGTACAGAAAAAAGTTAGTTATTATGGCAGAAAAAATAATATATTATGTATCACAAACTAATAGTATTAAAAAATTATTAGATAAAAAATGTTCCTTGCAACAATCACAACTTTATTATACATTTTTTCTTTTAGGTTTTTTTTCTTTAATTTAAAGCTACAATATGTAAAATTAACAATACGGTTACTCACTAAATTTCTTAAATGAGGGGTACAATCTAGAGATATGACATGTTACGGGGTACGCTAATGAAAAAAGGTTGGGAACCACTGCGTTAAAGCGTCTCTGAGTAAGTCACTTCCGGTGCGCTGTCTTTCCTCCTTCTCGACTCTGATCGCTCCGTTACGCGACCGCTCGCGTGACCTAAATAACGCGGCTTCCGTGTCCGCCGAGACGCGGTGGTGTCATCCTGACAGGGCACCAAAGAGGTGCCGACCTTTTGGTCACAAAACTATTTCGTGATTCTTAATTATTCACACTATTCTAGCATCAGGTTACGTAAAATATTCATTTTACAACTAAAAATAATAGAATTGTTGAAATATCAATATTTATGCTTCTTTTATATGTGACGATTTTAGTACACAGCATTTTCGGTATAATTACAGTCGACCCCCCTATAAGATCATTGATTTTTCCGTTTTATCTGAATTACATGTTGTACGAGTCACTTAGATTTTACAAATATGTGAGCCATTCACAGTCCGGCACACGTATTTGTAAAATCTAAGTGACTCGTACAACATGTAATTCAGATAAAACGGAAAAATCAATGATCTTATAGGGGGGTCGACTTGTATATTATTATTATTATTTCATATATAAAGTAGCACGAGACTATAAAATCAAAAAATAAGGTATTGCATTAAGAATAATAATATCATTATTGCTCTTAATACTAATATTTGTGCTTAAATTCTTTTCCTGAGATATACTGTAGCGTCGAACGTTTATCTCATTCATATTAAAATTAATACATTCATATTCCATTCTAAAATTTAAAAATGAATTAGTTTGTTATGTAATGGATGTTGTTCATTGTTTTCTATAAGATAACAATGCTTTTTTGATGACTCCTGCTTTCTTCAATGTTTTATTTACAAACTCTCGACTTAAAAGACCTAAAATTTTATTATATTGTAGATTATAATAGGAAGCGTCCAATATCACTACCATTACTAATCCTCCATTTGGCAAGATGTAATTGTTAAATCTTTTAACAGCCGCTTTAAAATCCTCTGATGTGGTGCAAACCGCTTCTAAGCACAAAGAGGTAAACAACACATCAAACTTTCCGACGTCCGAGGAAATGATGTCTTTCTGCAAGATATCGCAAGGAATTACTTCTTTTATTTTTTGTCGCAATCGAAGTTTAATTTTGTTTATTCCTTCTTCGACGTTTCTGTTCAAATAAATAATTCAAATTAAATAAGTGAATTTTTTAGGGAGGTTTCTTTATTAGGAGATTGATGCTACTAAATATTGTAGATTAATTAATTAAAGGTCGAGGAGATGGGAAGTTACAAGGAGTCGGACTTAATGACGATTTTGCTTGTTATTAGCATTTACAATCTTTTATACACCCATCCCTACCCTCAAAATTAAACTTTTTCCATTTTTTAATAATTTAAAATATAAAAAGATTTTAATAATAAAAAAATCTTAACAGATGGCAAAACACACACANATTTACATTATAATTTTACTTTAAATGTTTGCATGGAAAGGTTAATATTATTTATAAATGTATTACTTTAGTTTGCACGAGTTTTTTTTTGTATCGAGAAAGATTTTATAGTTTCAAAATTAACGGAATATGGTCTAAAACCTCTAGGTATTCAAAACTATCGCGGACAATCAATCTTACGACAATGAAGCCAATATGTCCGGAATATACAATGGTTTACAAGCAAAATTTAAAAGCCATAGTAAATCTCTTCCTTATGCGGCTCATAGCCTAAATTTAGTACAAATTATGACGATCGGTCAGAAAATAACACACCCTCAAGATTTTTACATTTTTGGACTCGGGGAACCTCGAAACGTCGAAAAATAAAACATCGGGGTTTTTTCTGTATGTATGGATGTTAGTGTGCGTGTGTGTTTGACACGATTTTGTTCACCCTTTACGAAGTTTAATAACTCCTGTGCTTTATGTCAAAAATTTCTAAAAATTTTTAGGGAGGTTTGTTTATTAGAAAATTGATGCTATTAAATTTTGTAGATTAAAAGTCGAGGAGATGGGAAGATACAGGGAGTCAAACTTAATGACGATTTTACTTGTTATTAGTATTTACAATCTTTTATAAACCCATCCCTACCCTCAAAATTAAACTTTTTTCATTTTATAATAATTTAAAATATAAAAAGATTTTAATAATAAAAAATCTTAACAGATGGCGAAACACACGCACTTTTTAAATGTTGACGGGAAAGTTAAGCAACTCGTTGTTGGATTTTTAAAAATAAATTTCTAAAAACCAATAAAATTAAACATTAATTTATATATATATATATTTTTATAGGAAAAATTTACATTTATAATTTCTTAGTTCACATTTTACTTTTTAACTTTTCATATTTTAAAAGTTTTAATATTTAGAAAATTGAAATACATAAAAACTTTTCAATAATTTTTTCTAATTTAATATTTTTTTATTAAAAAATTTAGTCTGATTAAGTTTAGAACTAGTTTTTTATTTTTCTAGAGTTAAAATTTCATTTCTTTCTTACAATATTACATAAAAAGTGTATTTTAGGTATTACTTCTAAATTTTCACGTTAAGAAATTTCTTTCAAATTTATATAAGATGATATATTTGCAAATTTATTTATTTAAATTAATTTTTAAGAGCTGAGACGACCACCACTCCCGAAAATTCTCCTCCTTCAGATTCTTCGTTGTTTTCCATAAAATACCAATGTTTCTTCGTAAATCCTGCTTCTTTCAATGCTTCATTCACCAACTTTTGACTGACAGGCAAGACATCCCATTTATACTTCTTCTCGGGACTTTTCATGCAAAAGTAAGGCATATCTAATATAACAACCATAATTAACCCTCCTCCTGGCACTACGTATTTTCCTAACTTATTAACGGCTGATTTATAAGCCTCGGGAGTAGGGCATGCACCTTCCAAACAACAAGATGTAAAAATCACATCGCACTTTCCAATATCTTCCTGAATCACCTTCTTTTGTAATACATCACAGGGAACGATCTTCTTGACTTTTCCTCTTATTCTGTTTTCTATTTCTCTTATCCCTTGATCTAAATCTCTGTATAAACACGGCACAAAATATTAGTAGTTTAGAGCGTTAGATATAATAAATAACAACGATTTACCTTACCCGTATTCTTCTTGTCTAGCTGTAATTCTGATGAGACGACCCCAATCTTGCGCAGTTGGATCGTTTTTCAGCCATTTTTGAACAATCTCGCGATTATGTTCGGAAAATTCGCATTGAATGATTTCAGAAAAAACACGACTCGCGGGTGCTATTCTGTGAACTGTCGGACCGCATCCTATTTCAAAAAGTCTTTTTCCTTGAAAGCGTTCTATATAAATTCAAATAATTTATTAATTTATTCTATTAATTAATAAATAAAGACGAAGATGAATAAATTAATAANTTAAGTTTAGAACTAGTTTTTTATTTTTCTAGAGTTAAAATTTCATTTCTTTCTTACAATATTACATAAAAAGTGTATTTTAGGTATTACTTCTAAATTTTCACGTTAAGAAATTTCTTTCAAATTTATATAAGATGATATATTTGCAAATTTATTTATTTAAATTAATTTTTAAGAGCTGAGACGACCACCACTCCCGAAAATTCTCCTCCTTCAGATTCTTCGTTGTTTTCCATAAAATACCAATGTTTCTTCGTAAATCCTGCTTCTTTCAATGCTTCATTCACCAACTTTTGACTGACAGGCAAGACATCCCATTTATACTTCTTCTCGGGACTTTTCATGCAAAAGTAAGGCATATCTAACATAACAACCATAATTAACCCTCCTCCTGGCACTACGTATTTTCCTAACTTATTAACGGCTGATTTATAAGCCTCGGGAGTAGGGCATGCACCTTCCAAACAATAAGATGTAAAAATCACATCGCACTTTCCAATATCTTCCTGAATCACCTTCTTTTGTAATACATCACAGGGAACGATCTTCTTGACTTTTCCTCTTATTCTGTTTTCTATTTCTCTTATCCCTTGATCTAAATCTCTGTATAAACACGGCACAAAATATTAGTAGTTTAGAGCGTTAGATATAATAAATAACAACGATTTACCTTACCCGTATTCTTCTTGTCTAGCTGTAATTCTGATGAGACGACCCCAATCTTGCGCAGTTGGATCGTTTTTCAGCCATTTTTGAACAATCTCGCGATTATGTTCGGAAAATTCGCATTGAATGATTTCAGAAAAAACACGACTCGCGGGTGCTATTCTGTGAACTGTCGGACCGCATCCTATTTCAAAAAGTCTTTTTCCTTGAAAGCGTTCTATATAAATTCAAATAATTTATTAATTTATTCTATTAATTAATAAATAAAGACGAAGATTAATGAATTAATAAACTCACTATCTAAATATATTCTATGCAAAACGTTTAATATGAATTCTTCTTCTTCGATGGTATCCAACAAAAATCCCTTGTAGATAGATGGAAAATTAGGATCCTTGTACAGTTTCGAGATGACGTACGAATGTCCTTCGTCTGATACATTAAGACTCATGTTTTCAAATTAATCTAAAAATTGAAAAATTAAATAATATAATCGATTAAAAAAATACTAATTCTCATCTTAAAAAAATACATCACTAAATTTTTAAACCTACTCAATAGTAAATATTGTTAACTAAATATCCTACTCGGCTCTTTAAAATACTTAATGATGATTCATTAAGTATTTTAAAGAGCCGAGTAGGATATTTATGATGATTTTCACGATGATTCATTAAGTAAATGATGTTATTTAATCTATATATATAAAAATGAATGTATGTGTGTGTGTGTGTGTGTGTGTGTGTGTCCTTCATGCATTACCACATCGTTTATTCGATTGCCGTGAAACTTTGGGAAGTTGTTTAATATACTCCGGCGAAGGTTTGTGGCATAGTACGATTGCCATAAAACTTTGGAAAGTTTTTTTAATTTTTTAATACACTCCCGCGAAGTACATTTATCCTACGATAGATGGCGCGCGTTTACACGAGCATTCGCGCACAGTGTGTTCGATCGATTTCAAATTGTGAAGACCATTTCCCCCCTTCAAAAAATATCTCTATATATGCATTTGTGAACTGTTATTTACGATATTTGTAATAATTTTTGTTTAATCACTTTATTTCAACTTTTTTTTGCTAATTATGTATTCGCTCGAACTTCGTTAAAATCTTAACTGTACCCCGAACAACGACCGAAGTTGTAGGAAGAAATTCGCCTATTTTACCGATCTAGGTATCCCCCTTTTCCAAATTTTAATATCGACTCAAAATAATTTAAAAAGACAAATTACAATAAAACGGTTTATTATCCAACTATCAGAAATTTCACAACATGCCAAGGAAGAGAGGAAGGAGCAATTAAATAATTAAAATTGTAAAGGATTTAAAAATATATATAAAAATGGGGAATATCGCACTTCTGACAATCGCAGCGAGTGTGTGGGCTAAATTTGGAGAATCCGTGCTTCTCCCATGGACAACTGTATGTGGCCGGCTCACGCGTCGAAAAACCTTCCGATTTATTCGTGTACGCACCAGACGGAAAAACAAAAAATATCGTGTATCCACAAACACTCCAATAAATAAATAGAATTGAAACGACACTTTGAAATGTTTTCCCGATGAAAATGAATAATAATAAGTTTCAATAAAAATAATAAAATGTAAATTGAATTTTATCATAACGAGTTTGCTTGAATTTCGTTTCTTCTGAGATGCAGCAATGCGCGACGGATAAGCTAGTATTAAATAAAACTACTCGAACAAAAGATTCGACATCTTTTTATTATACAAATCGTAACAGTACATTAAGCCCCCTCGTGTATATAATCTTCGTAAAATCATAACTGATTATAATATATTTTATAGAAATACTTTGCTTCTACTCTTATTTATATACTCAATATAGTATTAAATAGTAAACTATAGAATCGATAATACAAAAATTTTTTGAATTTAATTCTTACCTTTTGATGATTGTGTTCGAAAAAACAACTCTTTAACCTAAAAAAGTATCAGCCTTTTATATATTTTCTACAGATAATGGCAAGATGGGATCAAGATTAAACTATTTTACTAAGAAACGGACAAAGATAAGAAGCAGACAGCAGGTGACAGATAAAGTTTTAAAAATCAATATTTATCTGTCCGAAATGATTAGCAACAGTAACATTCATTTCCAATACAATACCTGTATTATATTATTATTATAATATATATTTAATGTATGGAAAATGAACATTAAATGAATCAAATATCAAAAATATATTAGTTTAGTTTAGTTTATTAAGAACCGAATGGCAACAATAGCCCTTAAGAAAAAAATAAAATAGATAAACTTATTTTAATTATTGACAAAGTGCCTAAAAATATCTAAACTTTTTAATATAAAATTTATAAGAGTATATTTTAATAAATTTTGCAGATAAATATTTGTACTTTGAATTCTCTTATCTCCTTATATTTTTGAAACATCTTTACCTTCACCCTTTGTTTGTAATCAAGGTTATTGTCTGAAAATTACTTATATCATATGTTCTAGTTATAATAACTCATTTTGTGGTTTTGATTACTTTAATAATAATTTCATCAAAATAATCAAATAATGATAATATTACTTATTATCTAATTGCCAAATAATTAGGTTAATAAACTTCATCGTTATAATCTAATATAACTGTTGCTAAGCGTAAAAGATTTTTATGAATATGAATTATTAAAATACAATATAACATAATTTCTTAATTTTTGGTAGACACGCAAACACGCATATCCTAATGCTCATAATTCAAAAACAAGAACACTACAATCCTAGAAATCATCCATTCAGCACTTTCTCCACACCCTCCTGTTCAGACATCTCTTTTGCTTCAGATCCTGACACTTTCAGCACATTCTCTGACTCAATCTGAAAGAACGTGTGGTGTTATTGACCTTACGTTCTTTCAGATTCTCTTCCACTTGTTTCAACTCGGCCTTTTTCTAACGCACTTCCCATTCATTTTTTCCATGTATACTCTCTTTAACACCTCTTTCATTCCCTCGATGTGGTCAAACCATCGTAGGGCCAATTTCCCACCTTTTCAACCATATTCTCTTTCATCTCACATTCTTTCAGCACTTGTTCATTTCTCACATAGTCTCTCTTCGTTATGCCATACTCAAGTTTCTCTATCATACACGAGCACAGGCACCATAACACTCACATACACAACCACTCGTGCCTTTTTGGACATCCATTTTTTTCTTTGCAAATTTACTCNATTTGTTTTTGGCTACATTAAAGCATTTTTTTGAAAATATACAGTAAGGTTCCGTATTACCACCCGATTTTCTCTAAGCCTACTTTCGGACTTTTTGTCCTAAAGCCTTCAAAAACCATACTTATAATTACACTAGCGAAAAATCCAATTAGGATCATTTAGTTTACTAGTTAGCAGTACTTTTCGCACAAAAAATGTGGGTGTAGTTATGATAACTTGTTTACAATTCACTAAAATGTAATTGGGGTTCCATAATACCACCTTCTCCTCTATAGATTTTTTATATATAAAAGACTGTTTTTCTAAGTAATCTAGAATCTAGCTGCAAGGACCCGCTTCGCTGGGTTTTTAAAAAGTAACGATAGTGAAGATTAAGATAATTACATTATAGCTAATCTTACTTGTTTTCACAGAATGCAAGAATTAGGTCCCCCGTTTCCAGGCTAATTATAGACCTGGTCCCGATTCTATTTCTGAACGTCTGCTGTTCACGTCCAGTCAAACGAACCAATTTCAACGTTTTTGGAACGTTTACAATCGTTCTATAATCGAACCAATATTCGAATTTTATGTTCGAATTTAATTCGAACATAAAATTCTATAAAGTTCTATAATCGAACCAATATTCGAATTTTATGTTCGAATTTAATTCGAACAAATTTGAACATAAAATTCGAAATAGAGAACCACTTTCAACCACTTTCAGCTCCATATCTCCCGCACCCTTATAGCTATCGAGACGCAACCACCATAGTGCACGAATGGAGACTTGGGGCCAGTGTTGCCGTTCCAAGTACATTTGTACTTTTCTGGTACATTTTGAACCTTTCCAGTAAATTGAAAGTACATTTAGATTTTTAGTACATTATAATATTTCAAGTACCATTTACGGTACAAATTAATATTTCACGCCTTAACGAAAAAATGAGAAAAAATTAGTTTAATAGTCTCACTAGTGTCACTGTTTGCTAATTTAAATTATCCAATCACGACATACAAATGGTGTGTGTCCGTTGACGTCAGCAACATAGATAGTTGCACGTGTAAACGGTCTTGACTCAATGGTCTTCTTTCACACATTCAGTTGTCTGCACGTTCTCATCAGGATCTTGACAAAATTTTTCATGCCATGTGGTCCAAACAATTCAACTCCGTCAAACAAAAATAATGGACAGGTAAGGAAATCAATGATTTTAAACTTTTGTTGTCAATAATATCAAAATATCCGTTAAGTCAGAAACAAATTATTACAGAAAATAGTTTTGAAATTGTACGAGTATAAATAATATAAATACTTTTANCTCTTTAAAATGATGATTCATTAAGTATTTTAAAGAGCCGAGTAGGATATTTATGATGATTTTCACGATGATTCATTAAGTAAATGATGTTATTTAATATTAAATAAAACTACTCGAACAAGAGATTCGACATCTTTTTATTATACAAATCGTAACAGTACATTAAGTTCATTATAATATATTTTATAGAAATATTTTGCTTCTACTCTTATTTGTATACTCAACATAGTATTAAACAGTAAACTATAGAATCGATAATACAAAAATTTTTTCAATTCAATTCTTACCTTTTGATGATTGTGTTCGAAAAAACAACTCTTTAACCTAAAAAAGTATCAGCCTTTTATATATTTTCTACAGATAATGGCAAGATGGGATCAAGATTAAACTATTTTACTAAGAAACGGACAAAGATAAGAAGCAGACAGCAGGTGACAGATAAAGTTTTAAAAATCAATATTTATCTGTCCGAAATGATTAGCAACAGTAACATTCATTTCCAATACAATACCTGTATTATATTATTATTATAATATATATTTAATGTATGGAAAATGAACATTAAATGAATCAAATATCAAAAATATATTAGTTTAGTTTAGTTTATTAAGAACCGAATGGCAACAATAGCCCTTAAGAAAAAAATAAAATAGATAAACTTATTTTAATTATTGACAAAGTGCCTAAAAATATCTAAACTTTTTAATATAAAATTTATAAGAGTATATTTTAATAAATTTTGCAGATAAATATTTGTACTTTGAATTCTCTTATCTCCTTATATTTTTGAAACATCTTTACCTTCACCCTTTGTTTGTAATCAAGGTTATTGTCTGAAAATTACTTATATCATATGTTCTAGTTATAATAACTCATTTTGTGGTTTTGATTACTTTAATAATAATTTCATCAAAATAATCAAATAATGATAATATTACTTATCATCTAATTGCCAAATAATTAGGTTAATAAATTTCATCGTTATAATCTAATATAACTGTTGCTAAGAGTAAAAGATTTTTATGTATATGAATTATTAAAATACAATATGACATAATTTCTTAATTTTTGGACGACACGCAAACACGCATATCCTAATGCTCATAATTCAAAAACAAGAACACTACAATCCTAGAAATCATCCATTCAGCACTTTCTCCACACCCTCCTGTTCAGACATCTCTTTTGCTTCAGATCCTGACACTTTCAGCACATTCTCTGACTCAATCTGAAAGAACGTGTGGTGTTATTGACCTTACGTTCTTTCAGATTCTCTTCCACTTGTTTCAACTCGGCCTTTTTCTAACGCACTTCCCATTCATTTTTTCCATGTATACTCTCTTTAACACCTCTTTCATTCCCTCGATGTGGTCAAACCATCGTAGGGCCAATTTCCCACCTTTTCAACCATATTCTCTTTCATCTCACATTCTTTCAGCACTTGTTCATTTCTCACATAGTCTCTCTTCGTTATGCCATACTCAAGTTTCTCTATCATACACGAGCACAGGCACCATAACACTCCCATACACAACCACTCGTGCCTTTTTGGACATCCATTTTTTTCTTTGCAAATTTACTCATTGATTTTCTGTCGAAAAAGTAAATAATTACTTATAAATTACTTGTTGATTAATTTAAATAAAGTGTGAAATTTAAATACATTTTTTATGGTTTAACCTCAAAAAAATCTTAAAAATTTCTTTGAGGTTATACCAAGAAACCAAGAAATTAAGAAACGAGAGAAAAAATAATATGATAATGAAACGAATTTTATAGAAGATTGATTATACAAGTTATCTTTTAATTTACAATGAAAGCTCTTATATAAAAATAATTATCTCGATAGTAAGTTGAAGATGATTGATACGAACGTTCCCTTAGTAACAAAATATGAACGGGTAGACTTCGCTGATAATTAAAATGAAGAAATGCTTACGTTTCCAGTTATTTTACATTTCCTACAGCAGATTTGGAAAGCAAACGACAAATTGTTATATTGTTAATATTGTAATGTTAACAATATAACAATTTAACACTAGCTAGAACGACATTTATTTAGTATACAAAAATAGACAAAATTGTAACCAAAATAACGAAACGAATAACCTTTTGTATTTTAATTTGGCTTATTTTATATCAACAGCTTCTTTCCAATGTTGGAATTAAGTTTACATTAAATTTTACAGACTTGGTATGCAGGCTGCTAGTATGATCGAGGCCGAAAAGAAGGAATTTATAGCATTTCAGAAACAATTAGCCCATTGTTTTGAGAGAATGGACGGAAATCTTTGAAACTATGGGACGGATGTCGGCGAACCTGGATTTGACGAATACCCCGGATATGACAGTTTACCTCGGATTTGATAGGATGACGATTCATAAATGGACTTAATTAGAATCAAATAAGCTGAAGTCGCTCCCGATAATTGTTATTTAAAGATTGTGTGTGGTGAATTTTATCGTCAGTACAATATAAGATTATTGGTCAATGAACTGATCTTAATAACGTTTCAAACAAGCTGTAAAATCATGAATGTTTATTCCATTCTCATATCGTACATACAGTAATTGTATTTATATATTAATAATATGTGAATTAACTTATAAGTACAATATTTCATTTTGCTTATAAAATCATAATTATCTTAATAAATTTATTATTTAGAGATCTTCCCTTTTATTGAAAAATTCTCTTTTGAATGTATAAGTATCATAAAAGATTTTTACATGTAAGTTATTTAGGGCATGCAATATTTTATGGAATTACGATTTTTTGATACGATAACACCAAGAATAGAAACATACGAGGGTGATTCAAAAAGTAAGGTAACAAGAGCTCTCACGAGTGTCATATTCTTCCTCTTGTTCGAATTTCTCATTAGGGCAGCAGCGGAAGACCACAGCTTTATCGCACAGGCGTTAGATGATGCAAATGTTGCGTCAGGCTCTTGCATTATCATTTTGAAAATGGCTGCGCTCACGGAAACGTGGTCAAACGTAAAAGGGCGTAGTGTGATTCGATCTGAAGGGCAATTTACCAGTAGAAATTCATCATCAACTTGTTGCGGTGTACGGTGGTAATGTGTCACAAAAACAGATGTGGGTTTGGTGCAACGAGTTCGATAAAGGTAGGATAGATGTGCAAACTGAATTCTTACGGTGCTTCAAGTGGGAGGTACTGGAGCATCTTCCCTATAGCCCCAACCTAGAACCCTATGGATTTCTATCTCTTCGTGCTATTGAAGAAGCATCTGGGTGGTAGGCGATTCCAAACTGATATAGAAATTCAGCAAGCCGTCATGGAGTTGCTGAAGAGACTTGACGCTGATTTCTTCTCTGCTGGCACCGATGCCTTTGTATATCGTTGAAATAAATGTTTGGACAAGCATGGTGAGTATGTTGAAAAATAATATGTACCAGTGCTATAATAATCTGTATCATTATATCTGTCTGTGAAATAAAATTTGTACAGGAGAGGTTACCTTACTTTTTGAATCACCCTCGTAATTTAAATTTACTCTAAAATTAAAATTCGACATAATGGAAAACGAACAAAATGCAGAAATAAGACTCGAACTTCCAATTAAACTATTTAAAAACATTTGTTTCAATTCAAAATTTGACCGAATTAAACAAGTGTAAGTAATTAAATTCTACTCTCCGTAAGTCACTTCGTGTGCTCTGTTAGTACTAGTCTAAGGTCTAAGGTGCATTCCACAAATATAACGGCACTAATATATTTTAGTATAAAATCATTCACATTGAAAATTTGTAAACAGTTTTGGCTTGCTTCAACTTTCAACTTCTACAAATTCACATATAAAAAATGAGAATCGTTTATTGAGAGAGAAAAAAGTAAACTATAATTTTAAACTATTACAATCGATTTGACTGTTTCAAAAATATAAAGGAGTTAATCGAAAGAATTAATGACACATTAATAAAGTATATTTAACGATAATCGAATATTTAATGATGCCTCCCTTTGACTAAAATTACTTTGTAGATGCAGACTAGCCTTGATTGTATGAGTTTGGAGGACAAATGCGCTTATTTCTTCCCAGTGAAAAATTATGGCTTGTTTTAGTTCCTCTATACTATTATGTTGATACTCATTTTCATATACAGCTCTAGCCAGAATCCCTCAAAGATATAATATCCGGATAGAGCCGACAATTATTAAGAGACACCCCATTAGCTAAAAACCATTCATACATAGAGTTTATTGTGGAAATGGGGTTCTTGTTATGTTGAAAGAACCGTCGATTCCAGCAACACGTTCTGCAAAAGATAAGAGATTGCTTGTCAACATATCATGATAACCATTTGCTTTTGTAAGTCCTTGTAAAAAAATAAAATGGAGTCTTTCCTTACCAACTAAAATCACCCCACATTATACCTGAACCACTACTACCTTGTTGTCATTTGGAATATAGTCTTTCCTCCCTTCTTAAATCATGCGAGTAGTGGGTCCAGTAGATATGTTTCCAAGTGTCGTCCATGTCATTTGTCCTTGGCCCATAGTAAAAGTTCCTTCTTGTGAGTGAGCTTTAGTACTGGGAAAGATTTTCTTGACTTATATACCAGATGCTGACGTGTCTGCATAATTTTTTCAATAGTCGAATTGTTTGCTTACATTACATTCGGGCATTACTGCTAACTTCTGAAATAATATCCTGTTGCTGTCAACCTGGTGAACAACGGTTAGTTTTCCCTGTTTCTAAACTCCGAAGAGCATTCTGTTGATTTCTTTTGACCATATTGATCTCCAAGTTTAATAATTAAAAATAAAAATTGGGGGTCAATATTAATTAATATTAAATTAATCAATTAATAAAGTTGTCGATTACAGTGGACGACCAATTTAATTATTTAGCAATTGTTCTTGCAGAACAATTTTATTTATTTCATTACGTAAATTTCACAAATTATTTTTAAATTTATTCATTAGTGTTTATTTCATATAAGAAATTTCGATCAAGAATGTAACTTTGATGTTATTGTTTGCATTTTAATGCGTTGCTGTTACTATGTTAAGCAATTTTTCTTTAAAAATGGAAATCATTTGTAACAAGTAACATCACTATATTGCATTTTTAATTAGCCAATCTCATAAAACAAAGGGGTATAAATATGCTGAAAAAAGACTGAAAGGTATTATTTGCGAATACATTCGCTGTGATACGTTCGATTTGGACAATTTCGGTGTTAACTCAGAAGATTGTAAAAGGTAAATGTTAATCTGTCATTTAACATTTAAATCAGTAACTTAGAAACATTTATTAACAATTATGGAACCGATATTGACACAATACGCTATTACTATACTATGAAGCTGTTTTTCTACTTCTTTGCATTATATTGTTATATATAGAACGATTTTCTTGATTCTCTTATGACAGATAACATAATTTAGTAAAATATTTTAATGGATATTTAATTAGAAATAAGCAATTATTATATTAGATTTGACGCTAAATTCGTAAAAGGTCCCAAATTTTAATTACTGTACTCGAAATTGTTTAAATGTATTTCTTTATCTAACACTAGATATATGGAAACGATAATTTCTGATTTACTTGTTTAAATTTTTCTATAGATACAACTATTTGCAATAAGTATTTAAGATGATGAATGTGAAATGATGTAACATTGTTATTATATTAATTTTTACGCGTATTATAAATAAAATAGTACATCGTAATTGATTTAGTTATCAGTATTTTTAATACCATGTTGTATATATTTTATTTTTATGTTTTATGATCTTTCCTACAAACATTTTACTATAAACTTGAAAAAGTACTTGGAAATTTTCCACACTTTTTGCACAAAAACATTGTAAAATAGGGTTTACAGTATATAATTTTCATCACAATGGGAGAAAATATATAAATCTATACCAGTAACGAGCAATTATTTATTGTGACACGGTCACAATGCCGGGCTGCAATTTTTAATTTATTTTATTTAAAATATATCCTCTCCACCTCAAATTAATAGTGGCGTGCTTTCGTACAGTACTGTACATCATACTGTTCCGTTAACAATGGAGTCGGCCCGGTCATCTATCCAAATCCTTTCAGGGAAAAAGTTTTGAAATGGAATAACTTTCGGTTTGCATCGGAAGTTCTTATATAGTTAATCGGTGCCTTCTGCCCCTAAGTTTTCTATATCTGGTCTTGACTTTCATGTAGGCTATCTATCTCCGTTCTTAAGAATAAAAACAGATAGACAGACTTTATAGTGGGACTTTATAGGTCTGAATTGCAGCCCAATAATCTACATCGTCCAACCAAAGAACAATATTAGGTTGCTACAAGCTCTCCCGCTTACTTTTATGGAAATTTATAATAGTATATAATGTAAACCTGAAAATTTTCAAATTCTTTACTACACATTACTCTTATTTTAATTAATAACCTAATAGCTTGGATTTTGGACAGGCTTTTTGATTCTATGTACAGTAAATATTCTTTTTTCTTTTTAATAAAGAGTAATTACAAATTGTTTAATTAACGACGAATAAAAATTATCTTTGAATTTATCTTTAATTAATCAGCTTGCTAGTAGTTGTTTGCTTACATTTAAAAGAATTTCTAATTACATAATGCAAAAGTTATATGACTAATCGAATTCTATGAAACGCCGTCTGTAATTGGTAAAATAATCAATCTGCAATATCAGCGTTTATCTCTATACAAGTTTTCTTTATAGTCTTTAACGTTTGAAGAAATAGGAAGATATAACGTAATACTTAAACAGTAAACAAAAAATAGTTCTGACGTCAATAAAGTTTAGAAAGCGTTAATCTAAATAATAAAAATAATAATATTTCATAATAATATCATTTTATTTAAACATACAATTGCCAGATTATATTAGAAAGATTACAGTATAACAGTACTTAACATATAAACAAAATTCACCTTGTAGCATTTTAATTATTATTTAAAAGCTAATAAAATATTGTCTATACATCGAATTATGGTATTCTTGATTATAGTTGATATAAACTAAAAAATTGTATTTAATTTTGTAAAAATAAATAGAACGTAACAAGAATGTATCCTTTGTATAAGTCAGAAATATAAGTTGTTAGAGAACTTTTGCAAAGTGAAAAGCTCAAAACTTTCTAGTAAATAGCTAAAGAAATTAGCATCTAAGCGTACAAAAATAACAAGAAGACAGTTCAGAAACTGAAACCAAGAATTTTCTACAGAATTTACAGCTCCGTTTCCAGCAAAAACTGGACTCTCTGATTAACTCCGGCTCCGGTCCCAAAGCCCTGACAATATAGTTCTATTTTAAATAAATTAGCACTTATTGTAAAATCTAATTCAAAGGATAACTTTAAAATAAGTTAATTATTCTAATAAAGTTTAAAAAATATGTAAATTAACATAAACTATTAAAACATCAAACACTACACGAATTTAGCACGTTAAACAATAACAAATATGATCTCTTTTTACTGTCTTTTAAACGACATATTCTTTTGAATTTTTTAGGCATTCCTGAATTTGACAATGGAGAATTTTCTTAGCCAAGATTTTATTACCGGGGATGATTTGTTCTGGTCTCAACACGCCATTCCAAAGTATAGCAAAGGTCCGATGACTGCGCACCTGAAAGATCTACCGAAACAGCCGTTACCTCCTCTAAAAGAATCCTTACGAACCTATCTGGAATCAGTTAAGCCACTTACCACACCTAAAGAATACCAGAAAACAAAAAAGGTAAATTAAATTAAGTCTGTTTTTATAAATAAACGCGTTTATCGCCTAGATGTAAATAAATTTATTTTAATTTTCGCAGAACGTACGCAAATTTCTTAAGAAAGGTGGAGTAGGAGAGAAATTATACGACATTTTAAAAGAACAGTATTCTTCGTTGGACAATTGGGTAGGAACTTTAACTTCTAATTTTTCATTTCATGCGTTTACGTACGAGGCATACATTTTCCACAAATATATTTACAAATTTGTCTTTGATACTTTAAATATTTTCTATGAAAAAATGTTATCCGAATGGCAAAGGCAAGTAAAAAGACTAACTTCTCGTATTTTGATGATTCGAGTTTGATTCCGATCGATTCAGAATATTTTATTTATTATCTCGAGTAAAAAACAGACAAATTACAAAATAGCAATTTAGCTAAATCATCTATTTACAAATTACTTTTATAATTCTATAGATTTCGGACCGATGGGTACGAGCACAATTACAATCCGATCGCGAACCCGTTACCCCTAGAGTAGCAGTTTCCGCACACGTTCACCAATTAGATTTTGAAACACAAGAACATTATTTGAGGTTTGTTTAAAAAATTGTTTTAAAAAGTGTTTTATAAATTTACATAAAATATTAAATATATATTAACAGATTCGTATCAACTTTCGTTTACTGTATTGCGGATTTTAAAAGAATGATTGATTGGTAAGAACAATAATTGTTGTTTTTATGTATTTTAATTTGACAGATTTAATATATTTATCTTCAAATATTAATATTTATCATTCGCAATATATTTACAATAATTTACCATTAAAAAACTTTGACGAAAACTTATTATCCTACAATTTATTGAAATATTTTTGACAAAATAGAATAGATTTGTATTGTTTTCTTGTTGAAACTGTTTACAGTCATCAAGTGAAACCAGATGTCATGAGGGGAAATCTTTTAGATATGAGTCAGTATTTTCTCTTATTTTCAACAACTCAAGTTCCTTTGAGAGACTGCGATAGATGCAATCATTACGGAGATTACACGAATTATCCCAGACACATTATCGTAGCCAGAAATAACAAGGTAAACTTCTCGAATTTCATCAAAATACAAACTTTATATAAAGAAACTTTATTTCCTTTACACAACAGTTCTATCAAATTAACGTGTTAGACGACGATGGCTTGCCTATTGCATCCGAGAAAATTTTTCGACAATTACAACACATCCTATCTCAATCAGAAATGGGCATTCCGGTAGGAATACTAACGACTGAACATCGAGAAACGTGGGCTAACATACACGAAATTCTCTGCCAAGGTAAGTTTATAATCTTTATCATTTATTGTATTAATATAGTTTGAATACATCGTGTTAGGATTCTTATTTAACGTTGGTATTGTAACTCGCCGCTTGATATTCATTACAGACGAAGTAAATAAGAATTCAATTAGAATATTAGAAACTTCCATGTTTGTATTAAGTTTGGATAAACCAGTAAATTATCCAGTTAACAAAGATAAACTTAATCAAAATTTATGTAATTTTCTTCACGGTTGTGGACCATCCGCTAACGGTTGTAACAGATGGTTTGATTGCGGATTAAACGTAAGTCTCTATGGAAATATATTTCTCGATTCTTTGTTAGGTTACAACGTAATTTATATTAACATAATTATTTACTTTAATAATATAGATATACATAACGGACGACGGGGCGATTGGTGTAAATATGGGACCTTGTCCGTTAGAAGCGCAACCATTTCAACGTATGCTGGAACACGCTTTAGTCCTGACAACGAAAATTTTAAATGAACCGTAATTAATTCTAATATTTTCATTTTACTTACGATTTTCCTATAGTAATTTTAATATAGAAAACGGTATATTCTCTGTATTTAAATAATTAAAAACAATCATAATTACTTTTTAAAATAGCTTTTGCTTTATAAAATGAGAAGGTTCTTAACTAATTTCAATACCCACATAAAAATTGACTTTTTTTCTATGTTTGGCCACCCCGGGTTTATAAACGTATTTAATTTTTAAAATTGTATACCGCTAATTTTATGTTTATAAATTAGGAGTGAAGAGTACAAACCGACTTCAGTAATACAAGAACCGAAAGAACTCCATTTTAATTTATCCGCCCAAGTTCTGAAATATATCGAAAATGCAAAATTAAAATTTCAAAAGTATGTAAAATGGTTCTTTTCTTAAATAAATAATTCGGCCGATATTTAACCAGAGTTATCGATAATTTTTAGGGCGTGCGATAACGTGGATCTCGAAATGTTAGTATTTCATAACTTTGGTAGAAAATTTTTAAGATTTCACAACATCACCGTCGACAGTTTTGTCCAATTGGCTTACCAGTTTACAATTTACAGGTACGATATTAAATAACTTTTCGATTAATTAACTTTTCAAATATTTGAAAACGATTCCGTATATTTTAGATTACACGGAAACAAAGGAAAGATTTGTAGCCTAGCCACGCTTCATAATTTTTATAGAGGAAACTACGATTTATTGCAATCTACTACGACCGAGTCCTTGCAATTCTGCAAGACCATGTTAAACGAAAAATGCAGTGAAAAAGTAAAATATATTACTCTGAGGAAAGCACTCGAAAAAAACACCGATAATATCAATAAGGTAAAATGTTATTAAAACTTATAAATATTTACTTATAAGAATATTACTAAAGAAACATATTTACATTCCAAGGCCATGAATGGAAAAGGCATAAATTATCTTCTCCTCGGTTTGAAGATAGCGGCTGAAGAAAATGGTTTCGAAATGCCCGATATATTTCGAGACACTTCTTTTTTGAAGTATTTCGATGTGAAATTGATTTCGAGTCAGGTGTATAAATTTTTTTTTGATTGTCCTAATGATAACTTCGATAGGATACTTATTAAACGAAATTAAAACATTTGTTTTTCGTAGGTTCCCGGAATTCCTTTCTTTCCTGTTTACTCCGCTTACGGACCGTTTTCTGTAGATGGATACGGATGTCCATATTTCGTGTGTCCGGATAAATTACACTTTACTGCTTTTTCTTACAAGCATATTCCAGAAACTGACTCCAAAAAGTTTTTGAAAACGTTAAATATTTCACTTTTAGAAATGGAAGGCCTTATCAGAAAGTATTCGGATAAAACAGACAAATGTAAACTGAAAAAGCATGCAGAAATTACTTATTAAAAATTAAGAAATTTCTTAATATAAAAATACTGTACTAAGTTATTACTGTATCATAAACAAGAGAAATTTGTTCAATGTTTGCTTTTCCTTATTTTTCTTACGTAATTTAAGGTTTCGGATTACTCTATATTTATTACATGATACGAATAAAGACTGTTAATTTCATGAATATATTTTTAAATAAAAAATACACACGAAATAAAAAACTTCCGTGTTCTGTTTGAGTCTTTTTTGTTTTAAAAAATTGAATTTGAAAGGGTTTAATTTATTTACAATTTACGATATAAATTAAAAATAATATTGATTCATTTAATTAATAATATTAAAACTAGGATGTATACATAGTGTTGTCACTTTCTGTTATAACCCGCGACACCCTAATCTTTGACAAAGCCTCATCCAATTACATAAAGATTTGCATGGGGTGGATTTAGTGCATTTCCCGGAACTTGGCCCCGAGATTCATCGTTCATCGTATTTATACTATGTGACAGTGGTGTAGTGCCATTGAACATACGAAAGATATATCTTCACTTTAAAAGTATTGTAGTGTGTACTAATTATTGATCCGATACGCTTAATATTACATGTCCACAGTCCGTGGATTTGTTATAAAAAACAAATTACAGCAATATTATAATTCAGTATTTCTACAGGGTAATCTGCCATTTGGCTGCTCGACCACTCCGCATATTTTGAAAGCATCTTACCTAAAAATCCAGCAACCAGTTGCTTAACTTTCCAGGCAACTTTTAAAAATGCGTGTGTGGCGCCATGTGTTTTATTAAAAACTTTTATATTTTTAATTATTATAAAATGGAAAAAAGCTTAATTTTCAAGATAGAGGTGGGTTTTATAAAAAATTGTAAATGCTATAGTTTGTCTATGAAAAGAATCATCTTGGGTATTAACCAATAAGCATCACGTGCGACTAAATATCCAGATGGCGCAAAGCGCTGATTGGTCAGCCGAATGACGTCAACCCACCGAAGTATAGATTATATTTTGTGGTCGTCAGAACGAATCGTGACGAAATAGATTATTTTTTTTTTCTAGTTGTCGTAATATGGAGTGAGTATAAAGTGAAAATACAGCCGATTATTATTTTTTGAACATTTAACTTCATACTTGAACTTTACGCACCTCTGAACCAAATCATACACAATAGACCATTTTAATAGCGCGATTAGTGTTTTAAATTTACGTGCGCGGATAATAAATAACAGAAAATTTATACTTTGTTACAGATATTGTTCATAAAAAGTTCGAGAAAGGACGAAATTTATAATTAAGATAAGTCAGAATATTCTTTGAATTTGTCATACGCATTTAATATAGTTAGACGAAACAATAAAATTAACTAAGTTTTGTATACCTCTGAAAGAGAAATTTTCACAAATCTTGCTTAACAAATTATAAAGTTTAAATGTAAAAGTTGTTAAACAATTTTGAATAAAGAATATTCTCCATAGATTACTCTTATCAGATATTTTTTTTAATGTTTTAGTTAGAATTGACAGTTTTTTCTGTCAATAGACATTTTGCGCTTTTGAATGTCAGTTCAAAATCTGTGTGTTAAGAAACAATACTTTCCGAATTTACAGAAATTTCATATATCCACTTCCATCGTGGATATATCTGTAAATATGTTTAATCAAATTTGTACGACCCTTTTTAAAACTAAAAGTATAGAATTCTTGTATAAATTATTTAACAATCAATAAAACTGTAAGTATTTAAATTCCTTTGATTATAATAGTTATATATGTTTTAAATAAGAATTTCCATACATTTCGTGGTGGAAATTGTTTATCGATATGTGTGGGGAAAAAGTAATGTTACATTTGTACCGTAATGTTTTCGCAGTAAACTATTTTTTTAATCCTTTTTATTTTTTGTTAAAATAATATTACCGTACTAATGAATAACTATTTCTAGATGCCTCGTATGTGCCGTATACCCGATTGCGTAGAAAAATATATATCCAGTGTCTATATTTAAGTTTTCACAGGATTTGATTCGAAAAGCAAACCGATGGATTAGAGAATTTGTAAAAAAAAATAACTTATTATTTAAAATGTTTTAACAATTATGCATTAAAAAGTATGAATTATGTTTAGGTGAAAATATATATTAAATTGTTAACTAATCTGCATTTTCACTCATTAAATACAAGTTTCTGTAAGGTTAAAAATACTTTATTGTCTAATAAAGAATGTAAAAAAAAACTTAATTTGCAATTTATATTTGTTGTTTTTGATTATTTTATTATTAAAGTAAATGTACAAAAAAGCTTAAAAAATACAAAACAGATAAAAGTTACTTCTTGATGTTTACGTGATATCGGTTTTAACCTTTGATATCACGTAACTTAGTTTAATGTTAAAATTATTGCAAAATTTTCAATTAATGTCGATACACACAAGAGCTAGTGAAATTATAAATAAGTGCCTTTTATCAAGTTTTAAATAAAATGTCTATAACTATTATATAATGTCTGCCCGCTCTCACAACAACAACAATACAAAGTTTAGGCTGATGGATCAACATTTCCGATTTTAGTAGGTTGACGTCATTCAGCTGACCAATTAGCGCATTGTGCCATCCAGATATTTAGTCGCACGTTAAGCATCAGCCATTGATCGCTTAGTTGTGGCAGAGTCGGTAGATTGTCCGGTCTTTCGACTACCTATCTTCGCTACTTGCTAAAATCAACTAGAGACAAGGGACACTGCAATCCTTACAAGAGCTTGGCGAGATCGAATGTTTTTTTTTGAAAGATATATAACCTTCGAGTTCGATTTCGTAATTTTCTATATGAAGTTTATTATAAGAATGTAAAAGCTTTTATTTAAACCCAAAACTAGGTTTATGGATAAATAAATGACAATGAACAAAACTGACATAATAGCCAATTATTAAATTGCGCTATTATTGCTATTATGTTAATTTAATATACATTACAAATGTATTATACATACAAACAAATTATATTATATACAATAATAATAATATAATTTGTATGTATAATATACATACAAATTATATTATACATACAAATTATGTATAATATAATTTGTATGTATAATAAATTTTTAACGTATAATAAATTCACATAATAGCACAATTTAATAATTGACGTAAACATGGAAAGTTCTTCCACCGAAATAACAATGAAAATTCGCATATAAGAGAGGGAATCACAGATTGGTT